CTCAAGGTGTTCCCTAGATTACTAATAAGAATTACCCACCTTCCACAGTCTCAGCTGTGGACCACTGACAGCTCCAGTGGCAAATGGACCTCAGTGATGGCAGCTGTTTCTTGGCCATGTGCCAATGCAATGTGAGGAATAAAAGAAACCAGAGTAGGGCAGAGGAAGATAAGGGACAGAAAAGTGATGGCCAGTGCTCATCCAAGGTGATACTCAGAAAAGGAGGCAGGAGGACGCTGGGTGAGGGCTCAAGGTCATTGGGAAAAGTGATGGGGAGCTGGCACCGGGCGAGAAAAACAGGCACAGGCTTGGCTTGAGATGCAGCAGACGGTTCTGTCAGGTGGAGGCTGGCAGTATGGAGCCAGGCCAGGAAAGTAGGACCCTTTGCCACTTCTTCCCCATTCACCCCTAGCTCTGTTAACTTTTGTCTTCATGTTGCATCATCAGAAAACAAACCAGAAGGGGCTGTTTGCCTTTGAGAGGGAATAGTGGGTTGAGCTGTGGAGAATCAGCCCCTTGCTGGAGCACCTCAGTAGCATCCCTGTGCAGCTCAACAGCCCAGCAGAGTGCCTTCAGCCAAATAGCCAGTAGCGGTGTGTATCCATTGAACTTCTCCAGGCCAACCCAGCTAGAGTGGGGGTGATCCAGCAGGGGTCCAACCCCATCACTGGGCTCCTGTTCTCCAGGAACTGAGCTGTGTGGGCCTTTCTTCCAGGCCTGCGGTGGAAGAAAGGGAAAGAAGAAACTTATTGTTGCTTTAAAAATTGTTTTAGGTAGAGAGAGAATAGCAAAGAAAAAAAAGGCACAACATGATATGCAGCAAAAGACTTGCTCCCCATTCCTGCTCCCAGGTTCCCTCCTCAAAGTCCCCTCTGAACATTCCAGTTTCTTGGATGAATATTTTCCAGTGTCTCCTCTCTAGGTCTGGATAATCTGAAGGATTTCATGTTCTTTTCTCTTTTCTCTCTCTCTCTCTCTCTCTCTCTCTCTCTCTCTCTCTCTCTCTCTCTCTCTCTCTTTGTTTTTTTTTTTTTTTTTTGGTTTTTTCGAGACAGGGTTTCTCTGTATTGTTTTGGAGGCTGTTGGTCCAGCCCGGCCTCGAACTCACAGAGATCCGCCTGCCTCTGCCTCCCGAGTGCTGGGATTAAAGGCGTGCGCCACCACCGCCCAGCCATGTTCTTTTCTCTTACTTTGGCCTTTTTTCACGTGTATGTGTGTGGCATATGCATGTTAGCATATTGTGGGCACACATATGTGCAGGTTCACATGCATATCTATGCACATGCATGGGAGGTCCGAAGTTGAAACTGGGAGTCTTCCTCAGTTGTTGAGGCAGGGTCACTCCAACCCAGACCTTATCTCATAACTCCGCTAGCCAGCTTGCTGCAGGGATCCCATCTCATTCTTCCAAGGCTGGAATTACCGGCAAGCTGCCCTGCCCCATCTGGCATTTATGTAGGATTAGAACTCTGAAATCTGCTCCTCTTGATTACATGGCAAACACTTTAACCATTGAGCCATTCCCACCCCAGGTTCCAGATTTTTGATCAAGTAGACTGTTATAAATCATTCAGATATGTGTGTACATTTAAGATTTGGGGAATATTAAAGGACAAAGAAATTCACATTCCAGTTTAGTGCTAATAATTCTTTCCAGGACAGGAAATGGCTTAAACATTAAGTGAATGAAATCTTAAAATGCTAGTCCTAGAAAGGCTGTTCCAAGTGCTTTTGAAACAAAGATTTTTAAAAATGTATTTTATGTATGCATATACTCCATGGATGGTTGTAGGTTCTGGGATTTGATCCTGGGTCTTTTGCAAGAGCAACAGTACCCCTAAACACTGAGCCATCTTTCCAGCCTTCCCCCCCCCGTTTTTCTACCATTAGAGTCACAGCAGTCCTCCTGTCTCAGCCTCTCAAGTCTTGAGGTTATCAGTGTGCATCAACACCCACAAACAGAGTCCTATTTTAAATACAAGAGGCCCAGGTACGTTACTTCCCCAGGGTCATCAGGTTGGGTGATGGCAAGTGTTCCACCTCCTAATTGCCTCCAGTTTTAGATGGTGGTCTTTGTAAAAATATATGACTCAGAGATAGAAGGAAAAAAAATAATTAGGCACAGATTTAAATTTTTTTCTCTAGTGGACAATTAGGTGTCACTAAAATTTAGTAATTACAGGAAAGAAATCAGTAATGGAAGGGAAAGTGTGAAGTCCAATTTCTAGTTTGAAAACAGACCACATACTTTCCTACAAACACACATGTTGGTATCTACAGGCAATTGGAGGGGACTGAGACGACAGCACAATCTGAAGAGATTGTTGTCTTTCTCCTGCTGGACTCCAGGCTGAGATCTGGGGCCAAGCAGAGGCACAGCATCCCCACCTCTGCTAAGAACTCCAGCCATGGACCTATGGGAGCGGGAAGCAGAGGCGGGTAAGTGCCAGTCTGGACTGAGGCAGAGATGTCAAGGGAGAGGAGAGGGCCTGAGGAGAGGTACCCAACAGTGAGCCTCTGAGCGCCACGGCCCAGGTGTTTACCACCAGCCACCCCAGGAAACTCCCACAATTTATATGCTGCTAAAATGGCAAGATGACTATTAAAAGTCTCCTGACAATGAGAATAATTTCAGTGTCCAAGCCAGATTGATGAGCCTTTTGATGGCCTTGAAAGTGGCTTCAGTGAGAGAGGACAGGGCACGCACAACTATAAACTGCTGTAAAACCCTCAGTTTCTCTGAATGGTGAATATCTGGGTAGCGTGGGTCTGGTGTTACATGCCTTCTGCATTAGTATTATCTTCCTGTTCAATTATTTTGACCAGTAAGGGGATAGAAACTATACTTGAGAATACCTTGGTGATGTTGGCTGGACTGAGAACTCCAAAATATACACCAACCCCAGATTCCACTCCCAGCTCCACAAAGAAAAGGGAGGCATTGATTATAAGTGCCATTGGCCTAAAAGAATGCAGGGCCAAGAGTGTGAACCTCTTTATCTAGCATTCTCTTTGGTCTCAGGCCTGATCTCTTTGACCCTGAATCAAAGTTTGCAAGCCCTAGGGCTAGGGGCCCATTCTCATGTTCCAGATGATGAGATCCTTGATACAGAAATAAGCATTCCTAAGAGCCTGCATCCAGGGCCAGAATCTGGATATCTGGCCGGCTTGGGGGGAAAAGACAGTCCTTCATCCTCACTCAAGGGACCCAGAAACCCTAATTTGTTAAGCTTGTCCTCTCCTCATGCCTGTGTGCTGGGTACATGATGGCCACCCAGTGCTGAGTTTGCCCTCTGGGCTTCTGATTATTCACTTTCACCCGTTTGATTCATGCATTCTTCCTGAGGTCTAGGTAGCCCCCAGAGAGCTCAGTCTCAGTTGGACATACCTCTCAGACCTTCCCTCGAGGACTCATTTCAGTTCATGATCCCGTTAGTCAAAGTACTTCTCTACCAGGCAGGAAATATACGTTATTCTGAAATCCTTTCTTACCCTCAACCTCTCACTAAATCCTTTTGAGTCTACCCTTTGTCCCCTGTGCTAGTCAGTCACTGCTCTAATCTAGACTGGACACATTGCTGGGAAGGGTACAGTGTTACTATCCTGCATCAGTAGTCCCCAGCCTACTCACTAAACTTCGTATCTGATAATGTCACACTGTTATAAAATTTTGGCTTTCCTGACCAAGTACAATTTCTTATTAGGGCACAGAAGATTGTCCCATGCCCACTGCATTGCCATCACTGTCCTTTCACCATATACACCAGTTCTGTGGGCCAGACACAGGGGGTCTGTCATCTAAGGCTCAACTCCCAAATGACTTCAGAATGGTGACTGTTACAGATTATATTGTCTTGTGATTGTGTTTTTTTCCTGCTGTTAATTCTAGGGCCCCTCAAAGGCTAGAATCAAATTTTATTCACTTTTATATTCTCCAGGACCTAGAAGGGTCTGGCATGGTAAGTACTCAAGAAAGAAAGGAAGAGTCTAGAAATACCACCCCAACAGGCAAATGGACACTGACGCACTGTCTAGAAGGCTGCTTGACCTTTTAAGAGACAGAGAATGGTGGTGTGTAAATGGCCACAAACTGCCCCTACTCATTTTTTGCTCATTTGTTTACCAAGGCCAGATATATGGAACATGTTGAGATGTCCAGCACCATACCAGAAACTAGCAGCATACTGAGGAAAGCTGGCCTGGCATCCCGGCAGGCCATGTGGTCCCCTTTGAGAACCTTGTCCACTCAGCCCTGTAGGGGCTTTGGAGAAGAGGCAAAGGAGAAGGTGGTAGAGTTAGGGAGGCTGGGGGCCTTAAGAAGGACTCAGTCTCTAGGACCAGTTCTCCTGGCTATGGGCTTTATTAGTACATTTCTTTTAAAAATGCATTCTTTGTTGTTAATAAAGAACATTCAACACTTTTCTAATTAGCTCAAATCCTCTGCAGCAGTATTAGTCCCAGTGCAACAGCTGGCTCATTTCACAATCAATTCATTGTTCCATCATTTGCCCACCAGGATGGAGGTCATCCCTAACTGAATAGGTCCTGTCTCAGTTAGGGTTACTATGGCTGTGATGAAACACCATGACCAAAGCAATGTGGGGAGGAAGGGGTTTAATGGTCTTACACTTCCCTATCCCTGCTTATCATCAAAGGAAGTCAGGACAGGAACTCAAGCAGGGCACGAACCTGGAGGCAGGCGATAATGCAGAGGCCATGGAGGGGTGCTGCTTACTGGCTTACTCCTCATGACTTGTTCAGCCTGCTTTCTTATAGAACCCAGGACCACCAGTCCAAGAACCACAATGGGCTGGGTCCTCCCTCTTCAATCACTAACTTGCCTACAGTTGGATCTTATTGAGGCAATTTCTCAACCAATTTCCAGGACCCTAAAAGTTTCTTACCCGGTTGAGGTTCTCTCCTTTCAGATGACTAGCCTGTGTCAAGTTGACATAAAATTAACCAACACAGTTGACCCCTTGTCAATTTGACACACAACATTTTTGAAGACATAACCTTTTTTTGTTTATTCCCAAGACCTCAGATAGTAAACATCACAAGTGTAAAACAAATTACAAACTTAAAAGTCCCACAGTGTAGCACTTTAAAACTTCAGTCTCTGTTAAAGTTCAGAGTGTCTTTTAAAATCCAAAATCTCTTTTAAAGATTCAAAGTTTCTCAATGGTGGACTCCTGTAAAATAAAAATAAGCTAAATGCTTTCTCACTTCAAGAGGGAAGAACCAGGGCCACAGTCACAATCTGAACAAGCAAAACCAAACTCCAGCAGTGCAAATAACTCAATGTCCAGTATCTGGGATTCACTCACAATCTTCTGGGCTCCTAAAGTGGTTTGGTCTCTTCTCCAGCTTCGCCTTCTGTGCACACAAGCTTGGCATCTAGGCCAGGTGGCTCCACTCCACTGCTGTTCTTGGTGGTCATCCCATGGTACTGGCATTTCCAAAATGCTGGGGTCTTCTGCTGCAACTGGGCTGCACCTTCACCAATAGCCTTTCCTGGGCTGTCTTGATGGTGCAAAGCCTCAACTTCTCTGCATGACCCTTTTAGTTCTGGGACTTCCACGGCTACTCTGGCTGCACCTTCACCAACAGCCTCTCCTGGGCTCTCACAGTGCCAAGCCTTAGCTGCCCTCCATGGCCCCTTCATGCTTTCAAAACCAGTACTACCTGGGTGACTCTTACACTACCAAATTTGGTCACCAGCAGGAAGTACGCCATTGAAGCCTCGGGACCACAGCTTCTGTGTGCTGACCCTGAGGAAACACTTCACAGAAGACTCACCTCGGCAATGCTGGTCTCTTCTTAGTCATAGCTGACTCTTCAGCGCCAGCTGACCAGCATCCATTGTCCTAGGAAAACAAAAGTTTTATTTTTGTGGTTCCAGTCTCTTGTTAATCACAGCCGATTCTTCAGCCCCAGCTGACCAGACCTGTTGCTGTAGTTTTCTTGTCGTGCCAGGTTCTGCCACTTCATCCCCAAATGAACATACAGAGATGCTATATTAATTATTAAACTGTTGGCTCATGGCTAGGGTTTTTTAGTGACTATCTCTGTCTTAATTATTAACCCATTTCTATTAATCTATGTATTTCCATGTGGTTTTGGCTTACCAGAGAATGCCCAGACCTGTTACTTCCTTTGGCAGGTACATGGTGTTCCCTCTCTGGTGCCTCTCTGCCTACCTTTCCCAGAATTCTCATCTCCTAGCCCTGCCTATCTTCCTTCCTCTATCAGCCAAACAGTGTTTTAGTCATCAATCAATAGGAGAAACATATATACAGACTGACATCCCCCATTACAGACCCATAGATTATTCACACAAAGGCCCAGTAAAGTCTTTGCTTCCCTCTGAAACTTCACAAGCCAGGCCTCCATTGTCTGCACTGCTCTCAACATTCTCGTAAGATCCTACAGACAAATAACTGAGCTCTCAACACAATGGATTTTCTAGTCCAAAGTTCCAAAGTTCTTCCACAACCTTCCCAAAACAATATGGTCATGTCTGTCACACCAATATCCCACTATCCTGGTACCAATTTCCAGAACCCTCAAAGTTTTCTTACCGCCTCATCCTGGGACAGCAGGGTTTAACTTCTAACTCATGATTAGAAGACAGAGCCAGCTGCCCAAGAGAAGCAGTTAGGGGACTCATTACCTGCCCCTGCCCCTGCAAGTTGCCCATGTTCTCTGGTCTCTGTTTCTGCAGGCATCTCTCAAGTGTTTGACTGAGGAAGATGCATGCATCAGAGGGTCCTGCCTTTTTTTTTTCACATTTTTTTCATTGACAAATGCTTGAAGAGCACGTTTTGTGTGCCATTCCCATAAGCACTGGGCAAGCGGTGATGAACACGGGTAAAAAATCTATGAGGCAAGGTGGCTTTGCGAGTACAGACACTTGCCACCAAACCTGACAATCTAAGTTCCAGTCTCAGAACTCACGGTGGGAGGAGAACCAACTCCTACAAGTCTTCCACACATGCACCATGACACGTGCTGTGCCCACCCCCCTGCCAAATAATTACGTGTGAGAAGGAAATGACAAAAAGGGGCAGAGGGGAAGACTCAACTGGTAAACGTACTCGCTGAAGAAGCCCAGTAGCGGGCTGGTGAAACCCAGAGAAACAGTTGACCTGAACAAGGGGGAGCTCATGGACTCCAGACTGATGGCCGGGAACCAGCATGGGACTGATCCAGACCCCCTGAATGTGGGTGTCAGTGAGGAGGCCTAGGCAATCTATGGGGCCTTGGGTAGTAAGTAGATCAGTATTTATCCCTGGCATACAAATGGACTTTGGGTGCCCATCCCACAATGAGGGATGCTCTCTGAATCTGGACACTTGGAGGAGGGCCTAGGCCCTCCAGAGAATGAAATGACAGACTCTAGAGATCCCCCATCGAGGGCCTTACCCTCCCTGGGGAACAGAGTAGGGATTGGGTGGGGGCTGGTGGGGGGGGAGCGGGCATGGAGGGGAGGGAGAGGGAGCTGGGACTGACATGTGAAGCAACATCGTTTCTAACTTAAATATATAATAAAAATTTAAAAAAGCCCAGTAGCCTGGAATCCATGTCAAAAGGTGGGACACATAATCCCAGCGCTTGTACAGAGAGATGGGAGGCAGACAGGAGGAGCTTAAGGCCAGCTAGACTGAAGCCCGCAGCTCAGCAGCACAACCTAGAGACCCTGCTCCAAACAAGGCAGGAGAGAACTGCCCCTCAAATGTTGTCCTCTGATCTCCACATGTACATCACAGCACACTCAAGTGTGTGCAGGCAAACACGAATGTGCACATGCACACACACGTTGTGGACTGTTACTTTAACTAGGCAAAGATGTGCTACATTTATGTTGTGGAATATTACATTTGTTTATGCTGTATTTGCTTAATTAGGTAAAGATGTGTTATTGTTTCACCTTGGCTGCCCAGGGCTAATAAAAAGCTGAATGGCTGGTAGTTAGGCAGAGGAGGGATAGGGGCAGCTGTTGGCCAGAGAGAATAGATAGGAGAAGAGAGAGAAGGGAGAATGAGAGAGATTTCTGGGGTCGGGCTGCCATACACTGAAGCAGCTGAGAAAGTAGGACATACAGAATGAAAGGAAGGTACAGACGAAGAGAAACAGGTTAAAGTAAGTTATAAGAGTACAAGATAAGGCCTAGCATCCGTAACTAGTAAGTCTCCGTGTCGCTACACACACACACACACACACACACACACACACACACACTCTCTCTCTCTCTGTCTCTGTCTCTGTCTCTATCTCTCTCACACACACACACACAACAGAGAGAGAGAGAGAGAGAGAGAGAGAGAGAGAGAGAGAGAGAGAGAGAGAGAGAGCCTGATCGACTCTCTTCTCATGAAGTTTACACTCCAATGGTGGAAACTAATAAAAACCATTGCTCCAGGACATACAGGAGGCAGAGGATTGAAAGGCTGGAAGAGCCCTGCAGTGGTCTCCAGAAGTTCAGCATTCACCTTTTCCTTAGAGATAATTGGTATGTTGAGCGTGACTAGCGGGAAGTGGGTACCAAGTGTTGAGCTGGTGGCTGCTGACCTTTGCGGGCATGGATCTCCTCACTGTTGAGGGGGAGATGATGTAGCCTTCTCAGGGGATAGGGTTTCGAGATTCTGTGTCAGCACTGTGTGTTATGTGCTCACGTGGGGTCTGCTTGTGCTTCCTTCTTCCCTGCTCAGAGCAGACAGGCACGGTGGGAAGGGAAGATTTAAAACAGGTTCTCTCACCTATCTTCTGGGACATTGGTGCCTCGGCAGTGTGGAGGAGGCTTCTGAGAGATTGGGCCTGGGTCTCAAAGGTAATGGGCATAGAGAGGCTAAGGTCCTGCTCTGTGCTTCTCCCTTACATTGTCTCCAGTTTGCTTAGCAGAAGCTCTGGAAGAAGCAGCCATTGAGCTGGGGGCAGGCCACTCTGTCCTCATTGTAATGTTAGGTGTGGCTGGAGAAATGGTCCTCGGGTCTGTTTTTGGCGGTAGTGAGAAGCCCCTTTTGTATATGCTTTGGGCAGGTTTTAGGGAGTGCCCTTTCAGGCCCGACTCCCCTCCTGAGACAGCCACATCATGCCCATAGGGATGGACCTCTAGAGCCCTGGGGTAAACCTCTCCCTCATGTGTTATTTCACCCCATCTCTCCCAACAATGCTGCACACAGTCAGTACCCTCGCGGTACACGTGAGAAAACTGAGGCTGGCAATTGACCCAACCCATCTCCTAATAGGTAACAGCCAACACTGAATTTACCGGCCTGCTCCAGTGGCAAGGGAGATGCTGATCTGGACCCCTCTGTTGGCCACACTTCCAGGTCCCCACCCAGTCTCCAGGGTCGAGAGAGCCTGGGGGCCTCTGTGAACCCGGAGCTGGTGACATTTTGCTCACCTTACTCTGAGTAGTGGCTTTGGCATCTGTAGAAAGGGTGAACTGTGTCTAAGAGGAATGCCAAATGGCAGAAGATGCCTAGAAGCTGGAAATCGACCTTTCACCCAGGGTGGAAGTGAGGTCCCTGGCAAACACCCCTGCACTGGTCTCTGGGTAATAGCACCTGCAGGCCCCCTGAGGGCTGAGTGTCCTCCTCTGCCAGGGTGATGATCAGCTCAGCTAAGAGTGTGGGAGCTCTGCAGAGCATGGAGCATGGAGGGCTGGCACAGTGTACCACCTGGAAGCCTCAACTCACCTCTGGCATCATGATTATTCTTGGTGTTTTCAGAGTTCAAGGACTGTTAGGAGTGTGCGGGTCTCTCAGAGCGACTTTAACACTATTTCTGCTGGGACCTACTAACACCAACAAGGAAATCTCAGGGAGGGCCAGACTCAGTTCTGAGCCTTTCAGGATTTAAACCTGGAAGATGAGAAGCTGTATCTGAGGTGGCAGCTCCTAGTCCCCCGCCTGTCCAGAGTGCCCATGGCTGAATGGGGACATGAGTCAACCTTTATGTCAACTCTGGCAAGTGAGGTCACTGCTTCTATGCTCAGGAAGTGCCCAGCTGAGGTTGCGCTAGAAAGGCCATACTCCAGTGCCCCTCCATGGTGGAGGAGAGGCTTTTCTCAGGGGTGGGCTAGGTAAAAAATTTTGTCCTGTGAGTGCTCAGGTTCTGAGATTATCCCAGCTCCTCTTCCTAGTTTTTTGTTTTGTTTTTGAGACAGGGTTCCTCTATGTAGCCTTGACTGTCCTGAAACTCACTTTGTAGACCAGGCTGGCCCTAAACTCACAGAAATCCACCTGCCTCTGCCTTCTGAGTGTTGAGATTAACAGTTTGCGCCACCACCTCCAGCACTTCTCCTCCTCATAAAGTGTCTCTCTGGTGACATCAGAACCTCACTAACCTGATGTCAGTTTGACCTGGCCCAGCTCCAACTCCTATACATAGGGGAGCTACATTCTTTCCCCAAATTCTCAGAATCAAACACAACTGGAGGCGCAGATGAACCCCGGCCCCCACACAGTATGACTAAACACTCCCCTGCAAGTATCCTGGGAGAACAAGGCTGGACTGCTGTTCCAGGGCCAATGGCATCTTTGTCACCTTGCCTCTTCTTGTGACTGCCACAGTGGTCTAGCCTCACTCCCTGCTACTTTCATTGTGAGATCCTCTGTCACACAATCTTCCCTTAGAGTCACACTGCTGATTGGGTCATGTTGAGACCTCCCTTCAAGACAAGGTACCATGGCTTCAAACTCATGATGCAGCTAAGGCTAATCTCAAACTCTCAAACTCAAATTCTCCTGCATGAGGTTACAAGCAGGTTCCATGCCTGGCCCTGTGTTTGGACTTTTCTCTGTCTCTAAGGCAAAGTATCACCATCGCTATAACGATCCTGGGTTTTCCTAAACAAAACACTGGGATTTTTCTTCACTTCTTCTTCTCTTAGGGTTCAGTGCCAAGTGCTGGAAATATAGAGAAACACCATCTCATTTCATTTATGTGTCTTCCGGTGATGCTCATGTTTGCCTCATTCCCAGACGACTTCATTTGCAACCCTGCATCTTGGGTTTTCCGATGAACCAACATATCCAACATTAGCCAAAAAGCACCACCCTGTCCACTCTGCTCCCGGCATTCGGGAGCCTCCAGAACCCAGACTTGCACAGCCTGGCTAGTCTCAGCTCACACCAGGGCTTCGCTAGAATCCAGGGCTCTCCCTTTGCACACGAAGTACTATCCTCAGGACCATGGTTGTCCTCGCTCTATTCTCACTCGTCTCTGCCTTTTTAGGATTTCTTCCCATCCCCCAGATTTACCCGCCTTCCTCTAAGAAGCCTTCCTAAAGACCACGTTGTAAGACTGCACCTTCAGGAATCATTTCTATAGTTCGTTACTAAAGACTGCTTTGCAATAAATTATTTCTTCCTCTGCGGTGCTGTCTTCAGTATCTCGCAGCTATTCATTGAGTGTCTTCCTACGCCTGGCAGGCCCTAGTCTGCCCTGTCTTCTGCCTGGAGCCTGAATTATTCACACCTGCTTCTCACCTCTCAGCAACTCCAGGGCCTCCGCAGAATCAGACTCTCCGTGATGTCTGTCCTGTCTCTCACCGCTTTATTTTGCACTTTGTCGAAAAGTGTCAGAAGGCTTGTAGACTGGGCTCTGCCCATGAATCAAGTCCTTCAGCCAGGCCTCTGTGGCCTCCCTTCATTCTAATGGTATGGCGAGGATGCCTTAGGATTGTTCGGGGACCAGCGAAGCGGGGGTGGGGTGGAAGGGAGCTCCGAGAAAGCCCCAGGCTAGTGAAAGATGTCCAGTGATTGCATCCCAGTACTTGCATTGGTTGTGTGGCAGCGCAGCTTCATGTCGCTCTCCGTGAGTATCAAGTGCATCCGCTTCCAACCCTGCCTCGGGCCACCTAGGCGGCTGAGAATCCTGGGTTGCTGAGGATTCCAGTGCAGTCAAGACTGTCTCCCCGCCAGCCTTGCCCCCTTCGAAGGACTGGTTGAACACACCTTAAACCCCACGCCAGAGCGCAGTTCACAGCGCCGCCCGGAACTGCAGCTACGCGACGCGAGCTAAGGCCAGGGGTCGCGCATCTTCGCCGCGGGTGATTCAGGGCTGCTCCGCGGTGGGGTGAGTGTGGGTGGACGGACAGAGCCGGACCGCGCGGGGGCAGCGGACCGTAGAGGGGTAACGGAGCGTTGGGAGCTGAGACCGACTCGGGCCCGTCGCCATTCTGCCCGGGCGTCTGTCTGGCCGAGGCCCCGGGTGCGGGAGGAAGACCGGCTCTACTTCCCTGCAGGCACGCTCTTCAGCGGGTGCACAGTGGCCCGGGCCGCCCGCGGCGTCTGGAGCCCGGAGCCCGCTAGGCGCGCGAATGAATGGATAACCGGGGCCGCGCGCGCTCGGGGCTGAAGGGCATTAGGACCGTGAGGATCGCTCGGCGCTCCTGTCTCTTCCTATCACCTCCCCACCACCACCACCTCTCTCCTTTTTCTGCTCTGCAGGACTGAGCAGCCCCGCGCAAGCGATAACAAACAGTTGGGGCAGTGAGCGCCCCCGCCCCGGCCCTGAGAGCACGCCGGCCCCGGGCCCCACGCGGGGCGCCAGTCCGCCCACCATGAGGAAGATCCGAGCCAATGCCATCGCCATCCTGACCGTAGCTTGGATCCTGGGCACTTTCTACTACTTATGGCAGGACAACCGAGCCCATGCAGCATCCTCGGGCGGCCGCGGCGCGCAGAGGGCCGGCGGGAGACCGGAGCAGCTCCGTGAGGACCGCACCATCCCGCTCATTGTGAGTACGCTCTGCGCACCGGGTGAGCAGTGGCTCGCGTTCTGCCCCCGCGCTGTTAGCCCAGGGCGCGGGGCCCGGCCGGGGTTGCGTGCCCCAAAAGCCGTTCAGGCTTTGTATATGTTCGAGAATTCCTGCCCGTTGTTATGGCAACCTGTGCCGGCCCGGAGGGGCCAGGGTGCTTGGATGCAGGGAGGGTGACAGCGTGTGGGGGCAGGGAGAAAGTGCTGCAAGTTTGGTGGGCCCGGCGTGCGCGCGCGATTGGGAACGTGGCGGCTCTCGCGGCCCTGCACCGCCGGGGCTGGAGACTGGGGGGCTGCGGGCGCCTTGCCATCCCCAGAAGGCGGCTGGCCCTGGAGTGCAGCGAGCGGATGGTGGGAGCAGAGCGCAGCAAGAGCGCGTAGGTGGCGGTGCGCACCCGCTCTCCAGCCTCTGGGGTAAAGGACGCCGGGTGGCGGCGTGGGTAGGGAAGGGTCGCAGAGTGCTGCCCTTGGCTTAGTGCTTCTTCATCCCAGATCAACTTGGATCTTTTCTTCGGCACTGACCCCTCTCTTCCCCAGAGGTGTTTTGTAGCTCCTCGGAGACCCCGAGAAGGCTTGTCCTGTATGCGCTCCCCCAACACTAGGGTCTGCAGAAGAAAGGGACAGTGTATGAGCCTGGGCTGAGCAATTCCCTCTCATGAGATCACCCTCCTGACGTCTGAGAGAGCCGGGGAAACAAAAGCGGTGTAGCACTCCAAGAGCCCCGGCAGAACTGGAGAGGGGAGTGGGGGGAGGACTTAGCTGCACAGTAGACCCGGGTGGGGGCTTGTGGAGCCTGCAGGGGGCGTTCCTGTCTACACTTTGGCCTGGCCGGCTGGTGATGGCTTCGTGTTACCAAGCCCAGCACCTGTTGAGTAGAGACCGGGACTAGTCTTTTGAAACTGCTGGGAAGGAAGTGTTCTTCCAATGGGGGGGGGGTGACCTCTTGGGGCACATTTCTGGGCTGGAGCAGCTTGGTGCGACCAGGACCAGAAGAGCAAAGAACTGTGAGGGAGTAGGGGAGTGGGGGAGGGTGTGATTCTGACCCGGAAGGATCTGAACCCGGGGAAGAGGAGACAGGGGCCCCTCTGGAAGGTCAGGAGTACTGACACCTGTACCCAATAGAACACAAGGTATTTTTAGTGAAATCCAAGGATGTGAAGTGGCTCTGTAGATACCCTCCACAGTCCCATCCTGCCTCAGATCCTTTCACGTCACTGGACTGAAAAATCCCAGCACTTGGGAGGCAGAGGCAAGCGAATCTGTATGAATCTTGTATGATCTACAGAGTGAGTTCCAGGACAGCCAGGGATACACAGAGAAACCCTGTCTTGAAAAGTCAAACAAAAGCAAACAAACAAGCAAGTAAAACTTAGAGATGGGATCACTTTCTGGGTCTGGTGGGAGGAGATCTTAGGTCCTAAGATTGTGTTTTAGAATAGATTCCAAGTTGTGGCGAGTCTCTACAAACACTGCTTATGAAATCTGGTACCTGGGACATGGCTTCCAGAGCACTTACCGATGTTTGAGCAGAATATTGGAAAGACCTGTACCCAACAGGGCCCTGAGATCTCTGTGGACTGACTGCTTGGAACAGGAGCGGAAAAAAAAACATTGGTGGCCCTAGACTCCAGTGAGTTCCCACACTGAGTCTCTGCTGCCCTATTCTTAGTCCTGGATGACTTCAGCCCTGGTCTCAGGGAAAACAGCCTAAGGCCAGCATGATAGGGGTGAGGCAGGCTGGTCAGATTCCCCACCCCTCTCTCTGATGACCTGTCAGGAGGTGGCCAGCATCTAGAGGAGGAGAAGGGTTGGGAGGCAGAAGAGAGCAGAGACTACAGAACCTGCTGAAGCCTTCTGGGTTCTCCCCAACTTTGGCTGAGGCACCTGGCTCCCGTGTCTCTCAGATGAGGGTCCCAGGATGGGATGTGTGTATATTGGGGGCACTATTGGTGGGATCCAGCACACAGGGATGAGATTTAGAAGCTATGGGGGGCACTAGTGAACCTTTCCCTGCCCCTCATTCCTGCAGCCGATCTATTGCTGGTAGGGGGCTGAGACCAGAAGCTTGGTGTAAAGTGTGCAGGGGAATTAGGGAGATACCTGGGAGCTGGGAAGTGAAGGCACAGGACAAAAAGACAAGAATGGAAGTCCCAGGGAACAGAGTGGCAGAGCCTTCTCTTGCTACTTGGGAGCACAGCCAGAGCACTCGCTATTCTTGGGTTTTAGCCTGGATGCCTCTCCTGCCAGCATCGGGCCTGATTGCAGACTGGACTTGATGTCGTCTTGCATTGTGCTCCTATCTTGAGTAATTCCCTTCCATGTGGTTCTCAGCTGCATATACGCTGTGCATGTAGGACCATGCTGGATGCTTTTTGCATTCCCTCATTGATACACGCAGCAAGACTTAATAAGAACCTCTTTGATAAAGGAGTGCAACAGGATTTTTGCTCACTAGGAGCAGCGAACAGCTCTAGCTTCAGATCCCCTTATTACTTAGCCAGGGCTCCAACCTGACCAAGGCAGAAAGGCAGGCAAGGCAACACGTGCTTGGGCATCTTCAGGAGGTGGACCCTTTGTTCAGTTTAAAAGAGTGCCGCTAAAGATTTGATTGTTCTCTAAAAGTTTTGGTAACTACTCACTGTCAGCCATTTCCAAACATCTCTTTGTTGAGTTGGACTTTAATTTCAGATTCTTAGAGAATGAGGTGGCCACCCTGTTGTCAGAGGCTGAGCAAATTCAGACAGACATCATCACCACTCCCCCGGGAACCAGAGAGCTGAAACCGGAAAGGGAGGGTCTGTGTGAGACTCTCATCCTGAAAGCAACTCTGCCTTCCTCCTGTTATCTGGCCTGTTCAAAACCAGCCAAGTTGCTTCTGGACCTTGGAGAGCTTGTTTGGCATTGTGGAATGTTGGCATGGCAGTCCTATGGCCGAATTTCTCAGTGAGGCCCTGAGTCTCGATATTCCATTTTGTTCTCAGCCTGTGCATCACAATTTCTGATGTGAAGATTGGTTGGGGAGGCTGGGATTCAAGCTGACTCCATCCCTCTGGCAGCTTTACCCACGTGGCAAGGTTTGTCACTTTCCCGTGCTGTACTGTGCTGGGCCAGGCAGTGTATTTGGAAACATCCCCTTGGACCTATACTGATCTACACTGCAGAGGATGCCAGCTGATACAGGCAGGAGACAGAGCAGCTGGGGGTGTAGTCTATGGCTGCTTGGTTCTGCATTCAGGTTTTCCATATACCAGTTCTCTAACAGGCATGAATAAGACACCAAGGTCTTACATAGAATTTCATTTTATATTGTTTAAGAACAAAACTATCTTGGGTGTTTTCAGTAGGGATGTGCTCATTTAAGATGACAGTTTCCTGCTTAAACACATGAAAGGTTTAGGCACAAACTTTTCTGAACCGGAACTTCTTTCATTTTCTTCCTGCCTTCTTTCTTTTTGTTCATTTGTTTTGTTTTGTTTTTGTTTTTCATTAGAGAGAGTAACTCAGGCTGGCCCCCTGAGTATTAGGATCACAGCTAAATATCTCCACACCCTGGCCTCAACTGGAGTTTAGACAGTGCTGAGTAACCACGGACAAAATACCATCTTGGGCCTTTGTTAGTTTTTCTTCAATTTGGGTTAAATAATTGGCTGGTTTGTTAGTGCCTTGATAGACAGATGGTAGATCTCTAGAAGGGGGAAAATCGCTTTGGAAGTTCTCTGGGATACTGTGAGACATAGTATAGACCAGGTATGACCTGTGTGTGTGTGGGGGGGGGGGAATTCCTATAGTAACCCTTTAGGTCTTCCAGGAAACTCTATTCACTTTTAGAAGGGGACACTGATGGCAGTTTTTCTGGTGCTGTTGTCTGAGAACTAAGGTTCAATAAGAGTTGGATGGATTTGTATTTTATTTATAACATGTGCATTTTGGAGCTGTGGGAATATGATTTGCCTAAATGACAGAAAATGATTTTGTATTCAATTTGTCTAGGTGCCACATGTGAGAAAGAGGTTAGAGAGAGAAAACCACTAATACCCACAATTCCCTTTTCCAGCATGTTCAGATATAAAGTGTCCATGGGTTCTATTCCTGGGATGTGGGGATAGCTCAGAGGCAGCCAAGGCTGGAGAGAGCTCTCACAGGGATGCCAGAGGCCCAAGAGTACAGAATGCATCTTAGGATGCTGCATATGCCCCCCAGAAACCCCATTATTTCTGTGCTATAACAGCAACCCCTGCCAGCCAGTGATCCCACACTAGATGCTGGGAGGTCTGAGGGACTTGGCTTCCTTCTGTGGTGGTTGTATGTGTCAGCTCAGCAAGCAGAGGCTGCTCTGAGGTGGAAAAGAAATACCATTTAAGGTGGACATGGAGGAGGCACTGGGTGACAAGCTTGCCTAAGCTGCCCAGGGAACTGTCATGCTGTAATGGAAGAAACCACCTTGAGGTCAGAGGGGAGCCTGTAGCCAAGCAGTTCATTATAGTTAGAAGATTGGAGATTTATGCCTGGCCTGCTTCTTCAGGGAACCCAGAGCACCTTCCCATAAACAGCAGAACAAAGTCACAGGAGAATGGACAGACGGAGACTCCAGCCTTCCAGAAATGAACAGGGGCAACAAGCTTTCATGTGAGGTCAATTAATGACCCCTGGGGCGACAAATTTGATTCACTCAGACATCAGGCTTGCACTGGACAGTCTCAGACTGTGCTCTGCCAGCTCTGAGAACTGAATCGGGCCACTTAGTCCAGCCTGTGTAACAGCTGCCTGTCCTGTGCTACATGGGTGATAGCTACGTGCATTTGATACTTTTGACACTGGACAAGTATTTCCCAAGCTTTGGCTCAGAGTTCCCTCTCTCAACAGCCTCATGAGCAAGGTACCAACATTATGTGCAGTTAGCACAGGAGTAAACTGAGGCTAATCTGTGATCTGTCCAGTGATTGCTCTAGATAGGATATGTTTAAGACTCTAGATCTCCTG